ATCTTAACAATATTTCTGAATTTCAGAATTTACATTATTAGACTCTATAAAGTGTACATTTTTACACAAAACTGACAAATAAAATAACGCGAATCCATCAAGAAACAAAAAACGTCTTTAAATTCTTCTACAAATTATCTTTATATATTTTGTGTATGCTAAATTTATAATTTGATATTAATGGAACTTACTACTTTCAATACTTCATTCAACGTGTCTTGGGCGGTGGTTTCTCTTTGCTGAATGTGTGTAAGTTTTTCCTTCAGAAGTAATGTTTTACGTTCATTCTTTCTAAAAAAAAAACAAATAAGCGATAATGAGCTCTATATCTGGGGCAAGAAGGCATCAGAAAAGTGAAGCCAAATTGGCGGCCATACACGTCTAATAGCTCAAAAGGTCGTAAACAGATTTTATACCATTTTCCCCAGCTAAATCAATCCCGTTTTTTCTAACGTACCGTATCGCTATGATCAAGTTTCAGTTCATGAAATCATAATATTAGTTTATAAAACGAAGTCAAAATACAAATTACGGCACACTCGATCCTTACCAAAATTGGCGGAAATATACGACTGATATATAAGACTCGAGCTCATGGTATAATTGTTAGATATATGCTGAGCTGATATATGGACTTATGGTCAGCCAATCAGAAGATTTACGTTGCGCACGTGGGGTTACTGACCGGGAAAAAGGTAGAATATTACCTTTGAACTTCCGTGAAGCTATGAACTTCCCTTTCCAATTTAGCGTTAGCCAATTTAAAATCTACAAGAAATGTAGCTTGATATATATTGCACTTGCATGGATATAAGATTGAAAGAACTATCAAGCATTTATAAAAAGTGCATCTATAAAAAGTGCACAGTTCTAAAATGTCGACTAAACTAAAAATTCGCCAAAATTTGTGACAGCATTCATAGGGAGCAAATTTGTGTTCTATTGATTTTATGGATGATTCATTCCTAGATATTCTTTACAAAATTATGCGCGAAAGGCTCGTGCTTTAACTGTTTCAAAACGTATACCATTTTTGTGCGCAAGCTCTGGTGCACTCGAAAATTTACTTTTCAGAATAATTTTGTGATAGAGATACCATGCGAAGATTCCAAACTACTCATACTACAGTACCATAATTATAAAAAACATTAAAAGTGGCCAATTTAGAACTGTGCACTTTTTTATACACCCTGTATAAGTATCAAGCGTTCCAGATTTAGGTCGGCGAACGGTGAATTTTGGCGGTGGTTGAGAGGATTTGGTAGCAATTCGCCGGATTTAATCTCTCTATCTAAAACTATTCATCATGAAGAACTCATGAATATAGTTTTAGATTTTCGAACACGTACATATTTTGTGTGAAAAATAGATTAAAGAGTGAATGTAAACTCGCTCTTATACAATTATAGTAAACTGTATGAAACTGCCATGTTAAATTTTATCGCGCTAGAGTCACCCATGTGGGCAAATTTCAAGTTTGATGCTACGGATTTCATCGTATTTCCGTCATCATACGGATTTCAGGCCCCATATGACGCACCTCTGATCACGGAGTACATGCAGCCACACCAGAAGGGTCAGTTTGGGGCTTATATATATGGGGCTTATCTCAACCTATCATGTCAACATTCCCTGTGGGGGGAAACCGGCAGTGGCGAAACGTGAGCTTGTTTTGCCTAACCAAACGGGGGGGGGGGGGGG